AGAACAGTATCAAGAAATCAAAAGAAAATAGTTGAATCCATCAATACAGCAATAAAGGCAATATCTCCACCCGTAACAGTAAATGAAGTAATTTCTGTTAACAGTATGAAAATAGCGTTCTCTAAATTCTTCTAGTTGCTTTGTTTTGTTATTATTAGTTACTTTTGTTTTGCCTTGAGAAAGTCCACATCAGACAAAACGCGTCGGCAACTATTACGGTTTTCCTGTTGTCTTTTTTATATATATATATATATATATATATATATATATATATTTATTTATTTATTTATTTCAAATGTTTTATTGAATAATATAGACATATTATGTCTGTCTATTTTGATAATAATCCTTTCTAATTCTCTAATTATCTTCTTGATGTTGAAAATCATCAAGGAAGGCACTGTAGTTTTTGTTAACCCAAGTACTTTTGAGCTCCTCAGATCATCCTGAGGAGTATATTGTGAAGACAAACGTAATGTAATTGTTTTGCGGTGAAGGTTTTTTTTTTTTTTTTTTTTTTTGAAGACATGTGTAAGACACCCTACACTTCATTTATTGGATAAGAATTCTAGAATTCCATCACAGAGCATTTAAAAGCAAATTCCTGTCCACATTCACAAAACTGGAAAAGACTTGTTGACATCACCAATATATTACACCTATACGGAACCGTCATTTAGCTTGACGTGCCTTAACCGATTTGGCCACAGAGGAGCGATCAGATAGCAAGGTCGAATTTACTGTCTTTAAGCTTCAATCTTCCAGGAATTTCTCACGTATATTCATGTCTGCTCAAAGCACATCCAAATATAAGAAAAATGACGTCAAACATTATGAAATGGACAAAGTCTGACAGTTATTTTAAGACATTTTTATGCTTTTACATTCTTTTTATAGATACAAATATTTAAGTAAATGCTCTGTATAGGATACAGGTTCGAATCCTGTCGGAGGATGAATATTTTCTGTGAAAATTTCTGGGACATTCAGGCCGGTAAATGTTGTTTAATACTGTTTATTATAAACAGAGCATTTACTTAAATATTTGTATCTATAAAAAGAATGTATAAACATAAAAATGTCTTAAAATATGTGTGTGTGTGTATATATATATATATATATATATATATATATATATATACACACACACACACACACACAAGTTCTATGTGTAAGGTATTGAGCAACAAAATATTTCAAAGATGACCACAGAATGAGACACCAAAATCCAAAGGCACATTGTAATAGGGAAAGATGCCTTCCAAAAGCTAAACAAAGTATTAAGAAACCTAAAAATTGTGTTAGAAACAAAACGTGCTCAACTGCTCTGTAATATAAATTCTCCTGTATGAGAATGAACTCTGGAAATTTCTTTTGCATATTTAAGAGGAAACTTGAGGCAAAAATAATGTGGTTTTACAGAAGGATACTGAGAATGCCACAGATTTGAACATATGACCAATGAAGAAGTTTCAAGGAAGATGAGAACAAAAATGACACTTATACTTAAAATCAAAGAGTTGAAATTTGGGAAGTATAAATGGGGAAAATATTGCTTAAAGCTACAAAGGATAGGAAGTTGTTTATGAAAATTTCTCTGATTTAACCAGTAGAGAAGACAATATTTATCTAAATATTGTCTTCTCTACTGGTTAAATCAGAGAAATTTTCATAGGAAGTTGTGAAGAACCATAATCACTTGTGACTTTTCTCTTTGTCTTTGCTTAATTTATGATCAGTGAGGTAATAACATAATTTTTGTCAAGAGTTGTCTGTCGAATAGACTTTTAGACTTCTGTATATGCCCTGAAAAATAAATAGGATTTCCCCAGTTTTTACAACTGCAGACAGTAATGTATTTACACTATTTACATTGCTTGTATTATTGTCCTCATCTTTATTGTTATATTTATAACATTTCAGCCATTGTACACTTTGGTCTTCAGGTGATATATATTGCAATTTTGAACCAAGCCCTTTATTTCATCCACAGAGGTAGTTCTAGTTCCACGTGCCATGCCTTTTCTGGACATCTCAGTTTCAGTTATTTCCATTTAGTAACTCAACTGTCCAAGTCTTTTTCACCTCTGCTGTGGCAAGATATTGAATTCACATCTCTTTGGGTCAAGTCACTGGATTATTTCAACCATTGCTTCTATCCACTAGATCATGTGACTTGCCCCAAAGAGTTGTGAGTTCAATACCAGGCTACAGCAGAGGTGAACAAAAACTTGAAGAGTTGAGTTACTAAAAGGGAAGTAACTGAAACTGAGTTATTCAGAAAAGGCATGGCATGTGGAACTAGTACGATCTACCCCAGTGGACTAAATAAAGGGTTCGGTTTGAAATTCCAGTGTATATCACTTGAAGAACGCTGGATCATGCAATGGCCAAAACGTCATGAATATGACAATAAAAATGAGGACAACAGTACAATGTAAGCAGTGTAAATAGATATAAAACCTTATCTCGGAAATATAGACAGATACCTCTTCATAAGAGAACTGTGCAAAAGTTCATGATAATGAGTCGGCAGCAAAACCAAGTTTATAAAAGAATCTGTTCGTTCCATGTTTTTTCCTCTTCAGGGTGAGTAGCTTTGTTTTTTTTTGTTTTTTTTTGTTTTTGTTGTTTTTTTTTTGTTTTTTTTTTTAATTATAAATCGAATAGTTTTAGTCATACCATCATAAAGTAACATTAGGCAATTACTATTAATTTATCTACAAACTAAAAAAAAGTTTAAAATAACAAAAAAAAAAAAATTCTATTTCCATTATATCATAAGTGTTTGTCATTTACATGATTTGTATGCAGACTATTGTCCTCGTTTTTGTTATGACGACGTTTCTGTCATTTCTGGGCTTTATCAGGTAAATCTTCAGGTAATTTCAAACTGAATCTTTATTCAATCAACAGTGGTAAATTCCTCCTCCCCATGACTTAAATATGATCTCATTTGATTCTTATTTAGTGTGGATGTGGAGGAGGTGGTGTAATGGATAGCAGGTCGGAATGAGAAATTGGAGGGCCAAGTTCAAAATTCCAGTCAGGTTCATTACATTCACTTAGGTGCAAATATTCTTTGGAAAGGTATGAATCCATTTTTTTGCTCCCCAGCTATGGGTTAAATAGTAGGGCATGGACTGCAAAAAAAAAAATCAGTTATTCTCAGAAAAATTATTAATGCAATATTCACATGCAAAAAAATTCTTATGCAAAATGTTTCAGTTTAAAATAATCCATGGCATGCTGTTAAAAACAAAACAAAACAATTCTTATGCAAAATGTTTCAGTTTAAAATAATCCATGGCATGCTGTTAAAAACAAAACAATCTTCTTGAGAACTCTGCCAAGTCTAAGTACACATTATCTTGCTCACAAATAGTATGTCACCAAATTCACAAACACGTGCTACAATCCACTAGGCTATTATCCCATGGGACAATCCCGAGTTGAGAACATGGAGCCTTGAAGTTAACCAACCTTTTTGATTTTTTTTTTTTTTTTTATTTCACCCCAAGCAAGGCAACAAAACCAGTAAGTTGTAGAGGGTTAATAGGTAGGGAAGAATATAAGAACATATTACACATACAATTACTGTGTCACTAAATTCATGAGCCAACACTTTTATCCACTAGGCTATTGTCCCATGGGACAATCCTAAGTGGAGAACTTGGAGCCTTGAACCTAACCTGCCTGCTGATGAGTGCTGCTTCTACTTGTCACACATGGCTTCTCTTTTCTATTGCTGCTGCTGCTGCTACCTTCCTGCCACTTCTCTATTTTTTCTTTTTCTTTTTTAAAGTGGAATAGTCATTCAACAACTAAGTGGTACAAAATAAGAACTAGATGAGATATCCATAGAAATAATGAGAACAATAGATGCTATAAATTAAATAAAATGGTCAGTTAAAAACTCCTTGAAGGTTAACCAGATTTACATGCACCCAAGGAAGGGTGGAGGACACTACAGGGAAAATGTTGTGATAATAACAACAAAGATGAAGATAATGCTCCAAGTATAAATAATGAGAAGAGTTCACTATGTATCAACAATTACTCCATATGTATATGGTGGGATCTTCTGGTGATCTCCTTGGATACACATTACATTTGATATTTTTTGATGATTATCTGAACATGGAGTAATGGATAGTGGATCGGATTAAGGAATCTGAGAGCTGACTTTGAATTGCAGCCAGGTTAGTTACATTGACTTACATGTAAATAACCTTGGGAAAGTTCTCTCTCTAGTTATGAGTAAATAGTAGGGCAGACTGGATCCTATAGCCTTGAGTGGCAACCAGTTTAGAAGGACAACTCTGAATTCAAAACCTGTGTGGTTGGTAACTAAACCGGCTCCCTCACTAGACCAGGGTCTGGCGAGGAGGGTAAGTGGAACTCCAGCAACACAAAAAACAAGAGGTTTTAAAGGGCTGATAAACACTTCGGTGTCAATGGCCATCCACCCGCAACTATGGATTAAATATCCTAACCAACCTACAATTGGCCAAGTGTAGATGAATGCAACACCCCAAGAGACATGGTCAACCAGGGAGAGGTTCCTCCAACATGTTAAGTGACTCTGGATCTGGACATGTATAAAGTAAGAGAAACAACTTTGTGTTTTGTTTATTTCAACATTTGAAGTGGATTTGTCTCAGCAGCCATTTTTAATGGGATTACATTCTCCATTAGTCTTAAGTGTTTAAAAAAAAAAAAAAAAAAAAAAACAGATTAAAAAGAATTAAAGCTCCAAAAAGCAATTAATTTCGCAGAAACTGAAGACCTTACACTGTGCTATTTAAAACTTTTTATCAACTCAGGTTTAGAAGCTGGAGAAAATATTTTTGCAATGTTGACATTATTTTTTCAGATATTTTCTTATACTGAATTGGTTAAATTTATTTTCAATTTTAATTTTTTTTTTTTTCTTCAGATTTTGAATTCTGATTCTTGTTAATGTCCGCATGTTCTAATCCTGACATTTTTTGTTTCAGGTCTTGTTAATCAATACCCATCCTCCTTTTTGCTTCCTTGGCTTGCTTCTCTAATATCATTATACCTCTTTTCTTCATGACTATGCACACTGCAGTCTTTGCCTCTCACTCTGTTGCAGCATGACTTGAGAACTTGCTTCCCTGCACAAGTTACTTCTGACCAATAAATGACAAGAAAAATTCTCCTTTACCCAAAGAAAAAAAAATGGTGGACTTTCTAAGAAGTGTAGAGTAACCAATGTTAGAATTTTTTTTCTTTCTTTCTTTCTTCTTCATTATCTCAAATGAATAAACCAGATAGTAATAGCATTTAGTGAAACCCATATGGCAGGAGTGGGGGATAGGAATCCTTCTTACCTCTGTCAGAAGAGAAACATTTTATCTAAGTCTGTCACATCTCTAAGTTATGTATCACTTTATGATCCAATCCTAGAATTTTATAACTGCTGCTGATAGCAGGTAACATGGTACTCTTTGCCATTGTGTTATATTGATTTGAACCAGTCTGCCCATTTATTTTTTGCATTTCGTGACCATAGAAACATTTAGCTAATCTGGAAGAAAGAAATTTGAAACCATCAATTGGGTTGAAGTATGACATTGGCTTATATAGGAGCAGTAAAATATCTCACCAAAGCCTTCAACATTGTTCAATTCCAATGCTAAATAAGAGGGTTTACAAAAATGACAAGCTCAATTACCGGAAAAATATACTTTAACTTATATTGCATTGTGTGTCATCTCTGGTTGTGGTGGTTTATCAGCAGTTCCTCAGTAGGGTCCCCAATGCTGCATCAATGGAATAAATGATAATTTTTCTCAGATTTTTTTTTTTTTTTTTTTAGTTTAGTTTGAGGAGGACATAGTTATCCCCATCTGCAGATTTCTTGAGAAAATGTCTTTTCATAAGCATGATGCAATTGTTAACTGTGGCTGAGTGAGCTTTTGGTCAAGTGATTCTTCCAAATGCATCTTAATCTATGTGGCACCCATCAGTCTTGAGAGAGCATGGATCTGCACCCAAAAAGTTATGCTTCGACTGCTGCTGATGGTGTGCATCTTCTTTTATGGCTGTACAGGCCCACACAATTACAATGAACAATTACAATGTAAATCACTCTCCCCTGATGTTGCCATGTTTCCTTTGCTTCAAGCAAGCTTCCCACCAGCAGCAAATCTGTTTCCTCTCTCCTCGCTCCAGCATAAGCAGTCATTGGCAATGTCTTCCCACTTCTGCCCACATGTTCTTGAAAGTTGTGCATTCTTGCCAGTGACCAGTTCTCCATACAGAAGGACCTTTGAAATCCTCTCATTAGTTGCTGCTTGTGTTTTATCATCAAGGTGAGGTGATCTTGGCATGTCCTCTCCAGGGTGTAGTCCTGGACAGTGTTTTATGAGAGATCAGTGGTTGCCCATGCAACACATCTCTCCTCTTCATGCCACCGATATTGTGGAGATGAACACACCTATTCAGAAGAGAACTTGAACTCATCCAAATACATATGGACACTGAGACTCATCTGTAGAAAAAAAGTAGAGACCTAAAAATCTAGCTTATCTTCTTAATACCTATTTCAGTAAGACTGTCGACTCCAAGTGACGTACAACTTCTCAATTGTGTTATCTTCATTCAATGCAATGAAGACCTAACAGTGGTGATGAGAATTTGAATTCACAACAAAAAAAAAAAATTGGTTTCCTCCCAGTTAGCATAAATAGCTAGTGAAGGAAAATCAAAATTCATGGAAAGAATTTTTGGTGAAATTATTTTCACCGGACTCAGTTGCTAAATTCAGTTAGTGAATTTCATTACATCTCAGAAGGAAACCTTTTATTCCTATCGTACTTCAGAAGGTACAAAGATATTTTCAGAGATGAATGTCAAGGACGGTTGGATGAAAAGAAGTTACATCTTCTGTTACAAAAATTGTGCCTTGCTGAATATGGAAAGTATCTGAATTTCATTTTGCTGAATACTCCAGAAAAAGTATCATTTAACAAAACGGTGTCGATATTATCGTAAATCTTTGGTAAAAAGAATTCACTTTTTTATACACATTGGCAGTGCATGAACCTTACTAAGGATGAAAATGAAGATTTTTTTTGTCATGTATACCGTTTTTTGTTAAAAGTCTAACACCAAGCAATGATGCAGGAATACATTCTCAATTACTTACAAAATTTGAACAGTATTCAAAGTTAACTATACAGACTTGCAGAAGAATGCCAAAAACTGACAATTTAATACAAGATACAGTGAAAATTGAGCAAAATGGCATGGCAGAAGAACAAATGCTTAGGAAAAAGACAGTAGTACCAAAAGTAAAAATCCATAATAAAAATACTGCCAAACTTGACCCATGCTATGGCTGTGGTATGCTTAATCTCAAAAAGGAATGTCCATTTAAAACTACAAAAATATTTTAAGTATGGAAAAACAGGTCACAAAAGAAGCTATTGCAAGTTAAAAGCAAAAGTAATACACAAATTGACTTGCTGAAAGTAGTGCTCCCAGCTAAAAAGCTGGAAAGTTAAATTATAGAAAATTTGTGACAGTACAAATGTATAATGCTCCAGTGAGATTTCAATTGAACACTGGAAGTGATATTACAATTATTAATGAACAAAGTTTGAACAGAATTGGCAAAGCTAAGTTGCAAGAGGAATATTGGGCAAGACATTAATTTTTCTTGGGAAAATCACATGTAACATTGCCCTTAAAGGTAAAACTAGAAAAAAAGCAGATGTTTTACATTGAAAAATTTAAACTTGAATTTACTAGACATTGATTGGCTTGAATTATTTGAACTATAAAATTGGCCAATTAATTCATTCCGTGGGAAAATAAATTATTCGTCATAGAAAAAGATTATAGCTAAAGACATACTGAGTAGACTAAAATATAAATTTACAATTATTTTCTTAGATGAGTTGGGAAAATATAGAAAGTCAAAGGCGTTTTTGTGGTACCAGTGTTTAAGCTTAAAAGAAATATACCTTTTGCTGCATTACTCTATTACATCAAACTGGACAAGTTAGAAAACCATGGAGTTATTGAAAAAATAGATGACTCAAAATGGGCCACATCAGCAGTTAATATTAGAAAGAAAAATAAGATTTGATTATGTGCAGATTTTTCAGTTGGATGGACTGCCTCCAACCACATTCTTATTCCCTACAAAATATCAGTGGTACATTTATTTTTTTTATTTTTTTCTTCAAAAATTGACTTGTCTAAGGCATATCTTCAAATCAAAGTGGGTGAGGAATACCAGAAGTATTTGACTATTAATATGCATAAAGGACTCTACAAGTTTAAAAGATTACCCTTTGGTGTAAAAGTAGCCCCAGGTATTTTCCAGCAAATAATGGATATGGTGTTAGCTGGAATTTCTATCCTCAAAGAAATTGGTACATGCAGATAGCTTATCCAGATTGATAGCAAAATTTAAAGATTGCTTCTCTGGAATCCAAAAGCAAAATTAAAAGCCTGATGTGAAATACTATTAAAGAATTGCCGGTCACGATAAACAATATCAAAATTCATGCTAAAAGGGATACATTTATGCAAAAAATTATGAATGTCGTTAAGTTGAAATGGAATGAAACTAAAATTAAACCTGCTAACAATAATACAGCATTTTCTATTTGTGATGGAGTACTTTTGTACATGGAAAGAGTTGTAATTCCGTTATCACTACAAAAAAGGATTATAAAAAAAATTCCACATTCCAGGAATAGTGAGGATGAAGTCCTTGCTATGTGTATTGGCCAAAGTTGGACAAGCATATCCAAAACACAGAAATTGTAATTTAGCAGCAAAATCACCACCTACAAATTATCAGACGTGGCCAAGCAGTGATAAGCCATAAGCAAGAATATATATGTGGATTTTGATGGACTACTAAATGGTTCATACTATTTAATTATGGTCGATAGTTTCACAAAATATGAAAAATGAGATATTGAAGTGTAAACTGCCTACCACAATAACAAATTCTTGTGCAAACTTTCTGCAAGGTTTAGAGGACTTGACTGTGGTATCCAATAATGGAACTCAATTTACTTCTAGTGAGTTTTACGTTTTTAAAACTACTTTTCTTCAAAAACTACGTGATTGAACATTTGACTACGCTGATTTATCATACAAAATTAAATGGTCAATTGTGGACACCTTCAAAAGAGCAAAAGCTTGGAAGCTGACAAATGACATTACAAGAATTTAACGTGTATCAAATGATGTCAAGTGCAAACATCACCATGAAAATGTTACCTGCTGAGCTCGTTTTCTAGAAAAGTTAGATCCATTTTTGCCAGGGAATAAGAAAGTTTGACAACTTCAACCTACCAGATCATTTAAGATCAGTGATAAAGTTTTCTTTTAAAAGGTTTGGGACTTGAAAAGAAAATTGACAGGAAGGAAAAATTATTCAGTGCATTGGAATTATGATGTACATTGTCGAAAGCGGACGTTTTCATCATCAAAGACATATTAATCAATTGAGGTCTAGATATACACAGAATAAGAAACCGGTACAATTTAATTTACCAATGGACATACTTTACGATACTTTTGAAGTACCTTTTCCTAAAACTGAAATTACAATACAATGTAAGGGTAAGCAAAAATGTAATCCGACTGAAACGTTGGAAGTGGATCCATGTTAGAAAAAGTATTGACTAAAGAAAGTGCATATCTAAAGGGTGTTGTGGAGATGAACACGCCTCTCCCCAGAAGAGGACTTGGACTCCTCCAAATGCATAAATACAGATGCCAAGAATCATCAGTAGAAGGATTAAACATGTAGAGAGTTAGAGTTCTAGCTTATCTGCTTACTATCTATTTCAGTAAGACTATGTTGGCTACAAGCGACATACTATTTCTTGATTGTGTTATTGTCATTCAATGGAATGAAAACCCTTGTCCAAGGGAAAAGTAGTGTCTAATACAGCTTGGCACCAGTGTCATTGCAAGAGATATCAGAATGAAGCTGAACATAGCATCATATTGTCTTAGAGACTCCGGCTCCAGATTTGTCCTCGGGGTTTACTCT